AAAAATTATTTTAAAATCATTTTTCATTTGGGTAATGAATAGTCACTCTCAATAAAAAAATATTTTTTTCAAGATAAATTATTATGTGTTAAAAATATAATTTATCTTATAAATTATTTAAAAAATTTTAATAAAATAATATAAAAATTAATTCTATTAAAAATATTTAAATAAATTTATAAAGTAAATTACATTTCTAATATATAAATATACCGTCCATAGTATCAACGAAGGGTTGGATTAAGTGGTAAGTGGTTTGTTCCAGTTTAAGCAAGATCTCGAGTTCGAAATCTTGTGTACGCAACAACTTTCATTAGGAGATTCATCCATCATTTCTCAATGTGCGATATGAGTTGGATCTGAATTAGTTAGGCGAAGCCCGATACCAGGGGCGGAAACCAAAAAAATATATATACAGTCCATAGTGTACAATGTACAATGTAAATCTCCTCTCATGTCTTCTCGTTCACCGCCACAACCTTGAATCCTGTTGTATTCTGTCGTCCACAAGCTCACCGCCCCCAGATCTTCGGTTGCCGCCGCTCAACCATCGATCATTGTAGAGCAAGAGGAGGAGGTGGACACGATTCAAGGTTCCATTAGCACTTTCTAAATCAGGGCTTTCCTCGATTGGAGCATAGGAGAATCGCAACGCCCAGGCAACAATATAGAAAGAGACAACAGACCTCGCCTGAGGGGAGAAGGTCCCACAATCCCCGCCCAACAGCTTGTTCGTATATCATTGTGTTAATTGTCAAAGAGATTACATTGTTTGAAGAAAGCAAAGAGCTCGTTTGCATTTCACCTTTTCATTTTAGACACAGTTTTTGCAGTGTTTGCCAGAAATCTAGCTTTTACAGATCCCATATTCTACATTCCATTAAATCCCAACATCTTGGTTCCGTGGAACCTAGATTTTTAAAATTAAGTATATGTATAATTTTATATACTTAATTTTCAAATTTTTAAAAGATCGTCAAAATCTTACAAAATTTGGAGGTAAATAAAAGTGAATAATTTTTAAATTAAAATAAAAATACCAACCTATTAAAGTACAATG